AACAAAAGAACAGGAACGAGAAAGTCAATGTCCTTGAAAAATATGGAATTCCAAGAACTGAACGATTCAGATGAAGGAAGTGTTTGCGAGACGATGGTGATGCTACCAGGCAATCCTATACCGGAGGTATCCACAGTACATGCTACCGATGCATTTGAAGCGCAAGACGTAACAGGAACTGGAGATTCTACGTTGGAAACAGTTGGAACTGTATATGGATTTCAAGATTCATCTCCAGTTTTCACAGAATCACCTGGAACATCACAAGGAGAGGAGGATGTCGCCGGATGTATTTCCCTATACATTTGCGTATCTCTTACGTTATTCCTCTCTGCTCATTTACGAGCGCTTCTTCTATCACTCTTACTCTGGTTGTAATACCAGTAGTATCTCGTGCATTACCTGTTCCGTGACATCTCGTGCATTACCTGTTCCGTGACGTAGGCATCTTCATATTTGCCACTTCATGTCACGCCACGGCCGAGGTGAGTTGATACACCCCTCGGCCATACATCATATTATATTGATGTCCATGTGTATTTTACAGGTATGTACCTTTTGTGTCTACTTTCTTTGTCATCCTCTTAACGTATTATCGTAAAGGTGCGCGATATATAGTATTTATATAATATCTATTATATTGCTATTATAAGGCATCGCGTTGCACGAAATTACTAATTAAACACTGACACCAGCACGTAAGTAAGTGTGAGTGATGTCTGCTTCTTTCAATTTGCGCATAAAATTCAAAGTGCAATATTACATAAAATGCTGTAAAGACCATCTTATAAATGGTAACATACGTAGGCATCTTCATATTTGCCACTTCATGTCACGCCACGGCCGAGGTGAGTTGATACACCCATCGGCCATACATCATATTATATTGATGTCCATGTGTATTTTACAGAATAAACAGATTTTAATCAACCACGCCTCAGTCCGATTAATCAGCGGCCAGGACCCGCGACACATACATATGACAGCACTGTGCGCCTGTGAGACAAAGGGACGTGTGTAGTAATGATAACAATCAGGACATTTGTATAGCGCTGATCCCGACACCTCATGGGCATTGCTCTAAGCGAGATCGCGAGAATGTCCCCTACAGTATTCCATATCTAAGCGCATACTACAGTTCAAGTCAATTTTAATATATCCCAAAGAGATAGGTCTTGAGATGAGCTTTAAAACGTCAAGTGAGGGAGAGCATCTCAGATCCTAGGGATGAGAGTTTCAAAGTACAGCTGACGCATGTTGAAAAGTTCTGGCACCAAATGATTTTAACATGTAGGCGGGAAAAACAAGGAGGAACTGATCAGCAGAGCGTAGGCTTCGCGTAGGCTTCGCGTAGGCTGGTAGACAGATGTTAAAGTTTGTAGGTATGGAGGATATGTCTTGTGAACAGCCTGGTATGTCAGTGACAGGAATTTGAACTCTATCCTCTCTTCTACACTAGCCAATGAAGAGATTTGAGAACAAGTTGAATGTGATCTCTCAGATTAGTCCTACTCACTAGGGTTGTGTTTAGATTCACACAATTATACACCGAATGGAAGATGATGTTTTCAAGGACACGCCACTACGAATCACACCATTTATCAAGAATTACCCTTGTATTTATTCTCCATCAAAACACGGTCCATATATAAAACACAATTTTGATATCTATCTGAGTTGACAAGCTCCTGTTCTAGTGGACGGAACATCAGTTTGGCGAGTGGGCGGGCGGTGTGACTGGGTTATAACTGAAAACATTAGATGATGGTACTTGTTTCCGCTGACTGACATTTGATACAGCAGTACTGCGCCCCAATCCAAGTACTGGGAGCTACGACATTCGTAAACCTATATATAGAGTTACGACAGATCGTAACGTTACGAACGCTTTGCGGATCGGGGCCCTGGGCGCAGTTGTACAAAACAACCTTAGCGCTACGACAGTCGTAAGTCTATGTTAAGGTATGGAGTTACGATTACCTTAGCCCTAATATACCTTTGTACAACGGCACCCTCGTTGTGTCGGATATATACCGTAAACTACGGCAGGATATCTCATTGGACTGGCGCTAGGAAGCCGGTAGAAGTCCGACCTAGTGAAACACGCGTGTACGCCCGTCACTAAATCACGAGCGTGACGGTAAAATCGATTTTACCTCACCTAAAAACTGCTGATAGAACAAACCAAGTTCATATCGGTTTTACCAGGACATATTTCAACACGACCTTGTCACCCTTCTGTGGGTCACGCTTTCCGCCATCAAGATCAACGTCATGATACCAGGAAGTCATTGATACCCACAGTCTGTCACACATAACAGCGACCCTTGTTCAAACCAAATCTCACCGAGGTTAATGATTTGTGTGCCATGTGCATGTTTTGTCTCATTTTTCAGATATATGTGTGTATTTACATTTCAAATATTTGAATGCTTACATATAAAGTCGGTGATATATCATCTGTTGAAAACCTGTGTAGTTACATTCATACAGTATTTTAAATTATCTTAAGTTTTTTTTACTTTACTCCCCTGGCCATGTGACTTATACAAATATACAATATACGATATACAAATGTCGGTATTTTCACAGGCGAATTGCGTTTTCAGTTGGCATTAGCCTTGTTCTAAGGCAGTACTTGGAGATAACGAAATCATGTCAGGACTTAAAACGAATTTATGTTACCTGCTCAGTGTATAAAATAAGAAGCTAATTTACAGGAAGCATAAACATTGTAAAAGCACAGTTGTTGTTGGACACTGAAATGGAGGTGGGTAAAAAATAGGAATGAATGGGAAACGAGTGTACAGTGGAGTGGTTAAGAATACATTCTATTTTTTTTTTTTGGCAACATATACTCTCCCAAAAAAGAAACGCATCATGAAAATAGCAATGTTTAGCAATGTAGCAATGAATTAAAACGTGATTCGTTTTACAAAAAGGTTTTGCTCTATTTATGAGTCCTATGGCGTTTATGTTTTGAAACATATTTAACAGTATGATTTTCAATTTCGGCGTGTAGTGTCACAGAATACACAATTCACATGCAATGCACGTGAAAGTTGTGGACCAGATAGTCTCAATGATGGGCCTAAAAGGTTGATCGGTGTCTGTCGATTATTCACTGTATTTGGAATATATGTTGACGAACGCAAAATGCCACGTCTAAGTGAAGCCAACCGTCATATCGCCATTGGTTTGCTTGAAGCTGGTCAGTCTCAACGTGCAGTTGCCCGACGCATGAATGTTCACCAAAGCACCTTTTCACGGCTCTGGGAGATATGGCCGGCAGAATTCGGTAGCAGATGCCCTCGTAGTGGGCGACCTCGAGCGACCACTGCGGCGCAGGATCGCTACATCCGGGTACATCACCTGCGTCATCGAACAGCTACGGCGACCAGTACCGCTCGACAAATACCCGGATTGAGGAGGCTTTCTGCACAGACCGTCAGCAACAGGTTGAGAGAAGTTGGTTTACTCGCCAGAAGACCGTATTTTGGTCCTGTGCTTCGACAACAACATCGTCGACATCGAGTTCAATGGTGCACCAACGTTCAGGCCTGGCAGCTACCGAATTGGCGTAGAATCTGGTTCAGTGATGAATCACGATTTCTATTGGAACGACGCGATGGAAGAATGCGGGTGTACAGACGTCGACGTGAACGTTTCGTCAACGCTTGCGTTCCGCAGGTGGACAGATTCGGCCGGGAAAGTGTTATGATGTGGGGGGCGATCACCTGCCGTAGGAGAAGTGATTTGGTGATGATCCAGGGCAACCTGACAGCTCAACGGTACTGTGACGAAATTCTACGCCCACACCTCCTTCCAATCATTGATCGCCAGAGGGAGTTGTTTCAACAGGACAATGCCTGGCCTCACACAGCACGTCACACTAGAGACTTCCTCCAGAACCAAAACATCAATGTGCTCCCCTGGCCCTCAAGATCACCGGACCTAAACCCGATCGAACATCTGTGGGATGCCCTGGACAGACGAGTGCGACGCCGTAACCCTCAGCCCCAGACACTTCAGCAACTCGCACAGGCACTACAGGCAGAGTGGGCTGCGATTGGGCAACACGAGATTGTGAGACTTATTCGTTCGATGCCGAGGCGATGCCGTACAGTTCTGGATGCCCACGGGGGTCACACGAGGTATTGACTTCAGCGCCACCACACGTATCCATGTGACACTCAAACTGACTTTCCTCGAGTTGATGCCAAAGACGGATAAATCTGCATTCCCAGTGTGCAATTTCGCTATATTTCATTGACTCGTAAAGCCTACAAGATGTTTCAAAATAAACATAAAAATACAGTTGAAATACCTATATGCGTTTCGTTTTTGGGAGAGTATATATGACAATTAATACAATAATACAATACAAAAATACAATTAATATATAACTATACATTGAGATTTGACAACTATAAATTGAGATATTTGAACTATACACTGAACATAATGACTGATTACACATTTAGATTTGACAACATGTGAATATAATGACTGATTACACATTTAGATTGACAACATGTGAGTATAATGACTGACTGACACATTTAGATTTGACAACATGTGAATATAATGACTGATTACACATTGAAATTTGACAACATGTGAATATAATGACTGACTTACACATTGAGATTTGACAACATGTGAATATAATGGCTGACTTACAAAGTGAGATTTGACAACATGTAAATATAATGCCTGACTTACACATTGAGATTTAACAACATGTGAATATAATGACTGACTTACACATTGAGATTTGACAACATGTGAATATAATGGCTGATTTACAAATTGAGATTTGACAACATGTGAATATAATGACTGACTTACAAATTGAAATTTAACAACATGTGAATATAATGACTGACTTACACATTGAGATTTGACAACATGTGAATATAATGACTGACTTACACATTGAAATTTAACATGTGAATATAATGACTGACTTACACATTGAGATTTGACAACATGTGAATATAATGACTGACTTACACATTGAATATAATGACTGACTTACACATTGAGATTTGACAAAATGTGAATATTCTGATGGACTTTGCTTTGTCGCTTCTATCTATTGAAAAGCCAAGATTAGACATTAATGTGGTCATCTTGTAGCTTGTGTCCAAATATCCATGACTTGGTTAAAACGGATGTTCACGGGATGGGTTTCGAAACTAATCACATGTGACTGTCTACTGTGTGCAGCTATAACTGTCATAAAGCGAATACTCCATGTCCACATATCTCTCTCTCAGGAGTCGACATCCGTAGTCCTGTGGGTAGAGCGTGTCTGGATCCCGGAACTCGGTGGTTCGACTGCCGTCCGTGTCATACCGAAACGCGACAAATGATAATACTTTTGTTGCCTAGGAAGCCTGACATTGACGGGATGAAACGAGGACTGGCTGCATATTGTGTCTGAGTGGAAGCAGTGTTCAACTACATCATGGGGTCTCAGTGGGCTACAAATCACTAGAAACCAGCATTAGTCCTGGGTGGGATATGTAGTGACACATAGGTGGTTCAGTCAAACTGAAACACGTTGAAAACACGCTTGATACCAGGAACCTGTTATTTTCTACCGACCCCTAGTGTCCCTGCATGTATATGGTGGAAGCACAATCTACCGGCCGGTAGCTCTGGTGACAACTATCGTTTGTCACGACAGTTTCGTTTAGGGAATGTCTGGCAGTACGTTGTTGTCATGGTGATCAACATCTGCATCTTGATCCAAAAACTGGTTCCTCTTAGACTGTTGACGCCTCTAAACATATTGATAAATGTATTATTTATATATTACGTTGAAGTATTAAAATGCAATATGCTGATATCAGATGAAACAACAAGAGTTGAATATAAACCTCCTAAATCTAGGAATGTGTTATACTTCCTTCAAACTTCCCTGGCGTCGTCTGAAGGTTTATAAAAGAAGCAAGATAAAAAAACTATGGCCACATTTTGCAGTCATCGATCCGCCACCATATAGCTGGAATATTGCTGAGTGCGGAGTAAAACGTAAGTCACACACTTGCAGTCATCGATCCTTGTTCATTCGTTCTATCATTCATTCATCCACGGACAAATGGATATCATGATAATGCATCAATTCACCTCAACGTTTTCGTAATCCCCAGTACCGTTGTCGACGAGACTGGAGGTCATTCTGTGACATGACGGGAGCGCCTCCATTAGGGCCTCATGGAGAAACACATATTGCTCCTGGTATTTAAAAAGTAGAAAATTAAACGAGGCAAAATATAGGATTTGGCATATCTAACGTCGGTGTAGCTGTATTCGGATATTCGGTCTAGATATCCTGTATCGATATATCCAACAAAAGCACTATATCGGAAGACAAAGAAATAACAATAAGAGTGGTCCTATAGTACGAAGCCTCAGTTCGCTCAGTTAACCAGCTTCCACAGAAGAGCACGAATAATTTTATCTTGACCTTGAATCCAAGATTGTTCCTCACTCACTATACTACGTATACGTATCTGGGCTTGTAAATCAAGATGTGAAAAGTATTGAAATTAATAATTTGAAGATGAAAATTGTTCTTGTCAGTGCAGTGCAGGTTAAACTCCTTGACCTCTTACCGTTGTCTGTATTACATTCATACGCTGATGCCGGAGCCTGACAATGCACTCAAAGACATCAACCACACCTTCCGCCTTGGCTTGTTGGATCAAATAGTCCAGAGCGATCCAGGTCCCAGTTCGGCCTATACCAGCACTGAAAACATATACAATCTATATAAATAACAGTACTACAATGATATCGAGAAAATACGAAGATGTAGGTGTGGTCAAGCTTTTGAAGTGACTCGTCATGCCCAACATGATTACATAACAAAAGGGTGTAATAACTTACCCATATGTCATCTCAATTAATACACACGTGCTTATCTTCAATACCTACTGCAATAAGTATACCGCTCTCATTGAGTCACATGATATATATATATATATATATATATATTTCACTGAATGCTCTGGATGTGGTACTCATCCGAACCATGGTCAATTCATAACAGTGTTTCTGCTGCCTGTACATGAGTACGCAAGGTGGGGTGTATGTAATATGCATGTCAACAAGGAGAACGACACCGGGTGTTCTTGAAATGGATGTCATAAGGTGTTCTGTCAGTAGCATTCGATAAACGATATTCACAAGGTATTAGAGCATCATGTTGTGTCCATGAAAACCTCCTTCCTTCCCATTCTGGACTCTGGAAATTCACAACGCACACCTGCAATGGACAACCGCTGGGCCTTTCCCAGTCGACTGTTCTTTCTTGACCAGTCTGTGGAAGTCCACCAGCGTCCCGACATCTTCTGGCACTTCTTTATCTGGCCACGCTGTGAAATGGTACTGCTTCAGTCTCCGAGGTAACTCCGCCTCCTGAAAAGCAAAAGGGTGTGAAAATCTCCCATCAAATCAATGTTGAAATCTGTGCAGTGTTGACTTGAGTAAACCCAGTATCACCTCGGAAAGAGCAATTACCTTTACCGTGAGTAAAGAGAACGTCCTGACTGTGTAGTTTATCCTTACCCTGTGTACAGGGAACCTCCTGATTGTGTAGTTTATCCTTACCCTGTGTACAGAAAACGTCCTGACTGTGTAGTTTATCCTTACCTTGTATACAGAGAACGTCCTGACTGTGTAGTGTATCCTTACCCTGTGTACAGAGAACGTCCTGACTGTGTAGTTTATCCTTACCCTGTGTACAGAGAACGTCCTGACTGTGTAGTTTATCCTTACCCAGTGTACAGAGAACATCCTGACTGTGTAGTTTATCCTTACCCTGTGTACAGAGAACGTCCTGCCTGTGTAGTTTATCCTTACCCTGTGTACAGAGAACGTCCTGACTGTGTAGTTTATCCTTACCCTGTGTACAGAGAACGTCCTGACTGTGTAGTTTATCCTTAGCCTGTGTACAGAGAACGTCCTGACTGTGTAGTTTATCCTTACCCTGTGTACAGAGAACGTCCTGACTGTGTAGTTTGTCCTTACCCTGTGTACAGAGAACGTCCTAACTGTGTAGTTTATCCTTACCCTGTGTACAGAGAACGTCCTGACTGTGTAGTTTATCCTTACCCTGTGTACAGAGAACGTCCTGACTGTGTAGTTCATCCTTACCCTGTGTACAGAGAACGTCCTGACTGTGTAGTTTGTCCTTACCCTGTGTACAGAGAGCCTCCTGACTGTGTAGTTTATCCTTACCCTGTGTACAGAGAACGTCCTGACTGTGTAGTTCATCAGCTCCTCCTCAGCTACACATTGGACATGGACATCGTCATAGTCAGAGCCTGGCTGGCCGAAGTCGGGCCAGTACTTATCACACTTAGCCTAGAAAGAAAAGGATATGTGTATGCTTGTACGATGTTAAAATCATACATTTCCACACAAATATAACACATTTGACCGTATATTCTAACTATCTGGAATCGATTTAGGATAACATCAGCAAACGGTAAAATCGAATTGCTAATGTTTTACATACATGCTCTATTGACACCATAACCGTGATAATGCTTTAATAGACGCAACAATACCCTTTCCACATCCATATGACCTCTCTGTATAAGAAAGGAAAACAACATCGTATTATCGCATGATCTTTTCACTTGCAACTAATAAATGAGCCGTTTATTCTGCTTAATAATACCTTTCTGTTTTCTACACAGTTTGTTAGCATGATTATTTTACTGGCATCTATCTCCCATAGCATCCTCCAGAAGTCTCGAAGAACGTCTTCATAAGGCCCTGGGAATATAGAACATTTTCGTGAAAAAATGGTAGTGTACTAAATTGTTTCTCCCTGCAAGTGAGAATCAAGTCTAAAATGCGACAGGTAAAGAAACGTATTACCTTGTGTAGCTACATAGTCCTGTGGTTCCCCATATCCCTGAAATATAAAGACATTCGTAGCTCAAACACATGTGCAACTCTGTATTATACATAATCTAATTCACTCCTAAACTAACACGTGGTGTTATAAACTACTCACACTATTTTCCAAAGGTATAAACGTAGAAGAACATCTCATGTACAAAGCATATAACCCCAAACCTTTCTTCCAACATACATATATCCTCTAAAGAAATAAAGTGAATGTGTTTAGTTTAGCACCGCTTCGAACAGTAGTTCACTTATATCGTGTGACCTTGAGGTATGCATGCCGTCCTCAGACGTTTACAACCTTGATAAAAAAAACTATTGTGCAGAAAACTCTGGAAACATAATTGGAGCAAAACAGGATTCGAGCCCTCAATAACATTCAGGTTTGCCCAAGGGACATAATTTGTTGCGACTTGGCGATTAGATCACCCATGTCCCCGTCATCTGAAAAGCATAAGTTACAACAGGTTACTGTCTCAATAATGAAAACTAAGAAATAGCCCTATTCGTAGAAACTCGTATGTGCACGTGTGCAAACATCACTTCACGCGCACCAGTGTACTGATTGCGTCATCAGAATTTTGTTGACCACGCTTTCGTCAAGAGCTTACATTTATGTAGCTAGCGTTGATGTAGTCGGATCCAGGGATGTTTGGGATAGGACTAAGTTTGACCCTGCAATGATCATCTGGAAAAAATATTGTAGTGGATACCATTGTACAGTTCTGTAAACAAATATAATTAAATAATAAAAGTCGACTAATGTTTGCTGACTCTTGTCTTAAACGGTACGTGGGGGTTGATTTGTCTTGTTCGTTCCATTTTATGTGTTTTTAACTGTTCAGATCACAAAGATCTATATATATCTAAACATTATACACACAGAGGTTCAATGTTGGGAAAGATTCAGTTTTAATCTATATATTGATTGTATTAACCCGATGAAACATTTTCTAACATGTGAAAACATCAGTCACACCCCAGCAAGGAATGGCGCTAAAGAGCCGTCACTCAGGTCAGTGAGTAAAGGACAACACTTCTCCATAGAACACATTTATCTCTGGATACAACAGTTACTGGTTTCCCTTCACTGCCTGGCAGTGAACATAAAGTTGTGAAATGCAAAGAAAGTTAAATTACTGATACTCACAGGGTAATACATTCCTATATCTGTTTTTGACAGTATTTTCTGGTAATTCGGCTTGATAACAGGAACCCAGCTTGCCACGCGGAAGGTCCTTAGAAGAGAAACAAGAGATGCCGGAATATCAAGTTAATACAAGGTGTAAACTATGTCAATATTACAGGTTTAAAGTCATCAGTTACTTCCTTGTGTTTCATTACTGTCCAATACAGAGACGACGTCACTCACTGTACATTGTGTGGAGAAACCACCAGGCCTCCTCATGTGTTCAACATATTTTCTCAAGCCTTGGACAGAGACCTCCGTTGGCCACAGACTGCTCGAGGGTGACGAGTCGGGCACGTAGCATGGGCGAGGGTCAAAACCAGATCCACATCCTTCTTCATCCAGCGACAATGTAGAATGTCTGGACGCATGAACGTGGACAATGACATTTCCGTTGCTCTTTTGTGCTTTATCCGTGGGTAAGGAGACACCATCCTCATAGTGTTCAGTTGATTCTACAACAACAGGGATCATATAGCCTTGCAATACGGAATTCTAGTTGAAAGGACACATGCGTATTCATATATATGTCACATTGCAAGTTGCATGTCCCTGGTAATTGTTAATGGTACCCTGATATCAGTACTCATCTGTATGGACTTGCCTAGTGTCTATAAATGTACATTTGTATTGGTAGTTCCCATCTATGTTCCCTCCCTACTGACAACGCCCATCTGTTCCATGTGCTCACTTCGTTGCCATTTCCTTCTGAGAGTGTCCACCTGTTCTATGTGCTCACTTCGTTGCCATTTCCTACTGAGAGTGTCCATCTCTTCTATGTGCTCACCTCTATGCCATGTCCTACTTAGGGTGTCCATTTGTTTTATGTGCTCACCTCTATGCCATGCCCTACTTCGAGTGTCCATCTGTTCCATTTGCTCACTTCGTTGCCATGTCCTGCTGAGAGTGCTCACCTCACCTCATCTATGTGTTCACCTCTTTGCCATGTCCTACTGAGAGCGTCCATCTGTTCTATGTGCTCACTTCTATGCCATGTCCTACTGAGAGTGTTTATCTTGTCTATGTGCTCACCTATGTGCCATGTCCTACTGAGAGTGCTCACCTCACCTCATCTATGTGCTCACCTCTATGCCATGTCCTACTGAGAGTGTCCATCTGTTTGCATGTGCTCACGTCGTTGCCATGTCCTACTGAGAGTGTCCATCTGTTCCATGTGCTCACTTCTATGCCATGTCCTACCGGTAGTGCCCATCTGTTCTATGTGCTCAGCTCTATGCCAAGTCCTACTGAGAGTGTCCATCTGTTCCATGTGCTCACTTCTATGCCATGTCCTACCGGTAGTGCCCATCTGTTCTATGTGCTCAGCTCTATGCTATGTCCTACTGAGAGTGCTCATCTGGTATATGTGCTCACCTCTATGCCATGTCCTACTGAGAGTGTCCGTATGTTTGCATGTGCTCACCTCTATGCCATGCCCTACCCATAGCGCTCATCTGGTCTATGTGCTCACCTTCGTTCCATTTCCTACTGAGAGCGCTCATCTGGTCTATGTGCTCACCTCTGTGCCATGTCCTACTGAGAGTGTCCATCTGTTCTATGTGCTCACCTTGGTGATATTTCTTTCTGAGACTTCCATCTTTCTATCCTGTGTTGCTGACAGTGTAGTGTTAATCTGTTGGACCTAACCTTCTTGTACTGTTTATTTGCGTACCCTGCCCTAATGATTATGCCCATATGTGTGTCATGGCCTACAGAATCTGCTTGTTTGCGTGTCCTACCCTGTCTTTTTAGAGTTCACCATTATATAATTATTACCATAATTCACCATTATTATAATTTGGATATCAATAATATTTTATAGGTCACAATTCAGATTTTGCAAAATGTCAACTAACAGCGTTCCCTGGTTCTCCACAACGAGTAGAATGATAACTTTATAGAAGCATCGTAAATGCTACACGTTTAACGGGGTAACAGCCCAATAAGACATGTCATGCTACCTCTAGGAGTAAGTTGATGGGATGGGTAGATCAGTGGCTTGGTTGTTGAATTGTTTGCAGAATCGTTGCGGAATCCTTGTCTTCTCTTCGATATATTTTTAACTGTATTCCTACATTAAAACAAAACAGTGGGCATAAATACACACATTAAGATAGTATTTTCCTAACATTTACACCTTACGATAAAACTGCTTCATCAAATATTTATATATTATTCTAATCAACAAGAATAAATGAAATATTACATAAAATTCCATAGGTTTTAAATTGACATTGCCTACCTTTTACGGACAAACACCACGAGAACGAGTAGAACGATGACGAAGATACAAGGCAATGCCGACCCGAGAATCTGGGTAGTCCGCTGACTGGAACTAACTGTGAATACGAGAAGTGATAACCGCATATATACCCTGATAATAGTCTGAGTTTTAAATGTAATTCAAGAAAGGAAAAGAAATACAATTACTATTTAGACTATCTTATAGCGGCAAATAATTTTTCTGACCCAAGCTTTTATTTTCCTGGCAATAAAGAATTCATAACAGCCTCAATTTATGAATATACAATATTATTTAGAACGTGTAACACATGCTATATTTGGGATTTGGGATTTGGGATTACACATTCCCCAAGTTACATTTGGATATCAAGATACATTTCTGACAGTGATCATATCAAGACTTGTTACAGTATAGTTAATGCTCACATTCCAGGCAGGACCCAGTGCTTCTGTTGCACATTGAACAGTGGTCGGGACACTCTTTGTCACAGTATTCTTCCCACAGTCCTGCTTCACATCCCAAAGTACAGACAGGTTTGCTTCTACCTGTGTCGGTAGTGGAACATTCCATGTCTGTACAGTTGCTACTGCATGAGAGGGTACAATGTTGACCGTAAGCACCAGCTACACATCCATCTGAACACGAACCATTGTCTCTGCTGCACTTGTCGGTAGCACAGTTCTCAGGACAGTTAACAGTACATGTGTCGCCATGCCAGCCCGAAACACAACCATAATCACATTTCCCGTTGTTCTGACTGCAAGTTTCATTCAGACAATTGTCGCTGCATTTCTCCTGACAGTGTGTTTTGAAGTAGCCAGGTTTACAAGGACTGCATCTCCCATCTCTCCTACATGTCTCACTACCACAGTTCCTGGAACACCTCTCCCGACATTGTTCATCATGATATCCCTGTACACACGTCATGCATGATCCATTCTGGTAGCATGTACCGTGAAGACATGTGGCACTGCAGGCTGAGTTGCACTGCCATCCAAACATACCCTTTATGCACCCATGTGTACATGCACCTGTTGTGCTATTGCATAATGTATTTAGACACTGGCTATTGCATTGTTTGTCACATTTAACTCCGTACAAGTTTCCTGAACACCCACAGATACAAGAAGCATCTTCACGGGCACAGTTCGAGACTCCATCGCCACAGACACCACAGAGGTCACAGGTGAGGCCACATTGTTGTCCATATTTACCCCCAATGCAACCATGTGCACATTCCCCTGACCACTGATAACACACCAGACTCCGGCATCCAACTCCACATCGTTTGCTACATGCTTCTCCCCATCTTCCCGTTACCGGACACGTTCTTGTACATTCATCATGGTCATCCTGAGTTTTTCTCTGACATTCTGTGCAGGAGTCGCCAGTTCTGTACATACCTACTGCACACTCTTTTAAAACAGATCAAAATCAATATTGGAGTTATACGTCATTTCGTTTATGCACAAACAATACTTTCAAATTTAGACAATTACATCAGCATTTTAAATGTTTTTAGATGCTGCCTGACCGCTTTGATTATATTTCAACCAAACCAAAATGGGTAGGGTTTTTTGTGTGAAAATGATCATAATTGGATCGATTTGGGAATTCGAACCCTTGTTTTTGTTATCTTCAAATTGAAATCGAAGCAGATGTGAGCAAAGTACAATATAACCAAACATTACTGCAGGTGTGCACATTGAATTATTGGCAATCATTTGACATATCTCAGCTAAAGAGATAAAGGTGAATGGATGGAACAGGTCAATCAGGTTCTTGGATTATACTATCTTATTCTTTTTCTTCGCAGTAAGTCTGTAAACCTGGTACTATGAGTCTCACCATGGATAGCTTTAACTGACATTGAATCATTGTTTAATATGCAACATAAGCAATTCACGTATTACTGTATCAATGTTGGTTTGTCATACGTCTCTGAATGTGTTCCATTTGGAAGGAATACAAATATAAAGACAGCAACACAAACCTGTTACGTTGCAGCGACCGCACGTCCTCCGGCAGTGTTCAGCGATACCTGGCTGTCCACAACGACTCTTGATACATAACGATGGACTTGAATCCCGGCATGTTGCACCATCTGTGAAGTCATGAAGCAAATATATAAGTAAACTAGGTATATAACGAACACTTTTATAACGAACTGTGTTTTGGCCACTTGATGTGTACTTCAGCCACAGTGCGTATAACTACGGTTTCATCCAACTAGAGTTAGTGGTCGTTACATGTAGTTATTCATGGCAAGATCAACCTGTTACATGAAACAAAACCATTTGATCATGGTATGGAATTCTGCAAGGGTAGCGCCTTCAAAATAATCTCTGTGACGATTCTCTGTACAACTACACCGTCGTTTTGCCAGCTGTACCCTGGTATTCCTTGTTACAACAGACGTTAAATTAATTAATTCTTACCATTTTCAAGGAGTATAATGCTTATTTTAGTGAATACATTTTCAAAGTGTTGTTTGACGACGACATTATAACCGTCACCTCGGCAAGCATTAATTGTAACTATGAACGAGAGATTTGACATGCTGGCTGTATCGGCTGGAGATACAGTTACATGGTCTACACGAAGGGTGGACAGTTTGAAAGCTGAAGCCATTCTTCTTGTCATACTGTCTTTCGGAGAGTGTTTTCTTAATCTTCAAGTTGAAGATCAAAATATAAAACAAATGAAGAAGTCCCACTGACCTCACATATTTCTGGTTCCGGTTGCAAAACAATGTATCGTTATCCATCATTGTTGTTAGGTGACGGTTAGTCCCAGGTCATTTAACGTTAGACCACAGATGATGCCAAGATTGTTTGATATATACATTTACTTACCACTTATATTTAATCTTTTCTGAGATGCTGAAATCATTGTGTTCATCGCTCCATTACTTACCTGCCTGATCTCCGGTTATAGCTGCTACAAGTGTGTACAGACAGATAATACGTCTCAGATCTGTGGTCTCGTCAAACAAACGTTGGGCCTACGACACAGAATTGTCGATTGCAAGTATACGCAAGCGGATTTAGAAACCACCCATGCGATGAACATGCAAAATTTGAATATTTATCAAATATGAATGAGAAAAGTACAATAACAAAGCTGAAAAAGTTAACATTATCAATCTTCACCGTTTTCCTGTAAAAGTTCGTATTGATGTACATGTTCTGTCGTATTTGTGAACCATTCTTTCTATTTCCCACTTCTATTGCTATTCGAAATGGATCACAGGAAGTCTCGCCTTGTCGTTGGAAGTTTTACAACTGTAACTCTCAATGGCTTTGTGAGTCAATAATATTTCGTCCCCAAAATACGTTTGTCAATGTAACTTACCATAGCTTAATTTGGGTTTAGGAGGGATATATTAAACATTGATTGACATACGTTTCAAATCTCTAGCTCTTTCATAACGTGGGCACGTTTATGTGAATCATTACTTATTCACCAGTGATATCCAATTGGTTAAGATGCATATCGACCCAGTAACGTGTAGCAAAAGAGTGATGTAAGATCAGTAGTGTAGTCATTCAAACGTAGTGTCTGCAATACACCAACAAACTTGTGTGGATTGCAAGTATACACATACGTATTTATAACCATACATGTAAAGAATTTGTGATTTTTTATCATACATGAATGGAAAAATGTACAAAAATTAACAGTTTGAATGAATTGAAGAGTAAACAGTATTTACCATCATGGTCTGCAAGTGCTGGTACTGACGTACATGTATTGTCGTCTTTCTTGGGAACTACACTTTCTCTTTCCTTTTTCCTGTTGTCACTTACAATGATGCACAGGAAATTGGTCTCGCACAGCTTCAGTCAGTTGTTTTATGCTTAAATCGACCAAGCTCCGTGGCGTTAGGATCTTTACACGTTGAAAGATCTAATCATTGATATTATTTTTAAATCTCTTGTGCTTTCTAATTCCTTGATCGGCATTCTAGAAGTTGGTGAGTCAAAAATGAATCATATAACTCTATGGATGCAATAGACAAAAGTTGTCAACCATAAAGGTGTATGCTTTACTCTTGTGCTTTTATGGTGTGCACATGAATACGTGCATCATTAATTATCCTTCCTTTATTCACATTGATACGATGTGTGTCGACCGTAATAGATCTATGCGCAGCTGAGGGAAATGGAAACTGTTTTATCTTACAGCTGAACCATATACTTGGTGGACGTCGATTAACGAATGTCATGTTTGGATATTCGTACCCATACTGCCTCACCTAAGTGTAGATGTATGTGGAGCATTGGGTGAGTGAGTGATTGAGTGAGTGAGTTGGGATTTAAGCCGCTTTTAGCAATATTCCAGCAGTATCACGGCGGAGGACACCAGAAATGGGCTTCACACATTGTGCCCCTGTGGGGAATCGAACCCGGGGTCTTCGGCGTGACGAACGAACGCTTTAACCACTAGGCTACCCCACCACCCCTGGAACATGTGGGATGATGATATTTTACATGTGTGTGTATTTGTGGGCGTGTGAGCGTGTGTGTTGCAATGAAATGAATTTGAAAAGTGTTTTAATCAACAAAAACTGAAGTTCACGGCAGCTATGTGTTTGGTGGGGTTTGCAGGACATTGTAGTGTCATCTAGTATCTTTCCCTGACAAGGAAATGGTATCTCAGATCTTTCTACCACCGAAGCCATATGAACATATGAAGACTTATTTGTTATATATATATCATTTGTTCTTATAGTCAGGAAACTGCATAGACGACCTATTTCATGTTTTTCAAAGTCAATCACAGTCAATCATCGTGATAAAACATTATCATTCTAATCAAATATCGCGTATAATGCTTTTCACTTGTCTGTTATAGACCACCGTCAAACATATGAAAAGTCACTTCAAGAGACCACTTGAACAGAAGCGGGGCTTATGGTACAAGATAGAACAGGGGAATAGCATCGAACACCGGTTTTGGTTTCAGGTGCCTTAAATAAGAATATACCCTGCACATGTTTGTCATAAAAAAGGAAATCTTTATTTAGGACTAAGGTCTTGAATGATATGATCCTGATGAAACAACCTGGATCACACCATAACCTCATTAACATCGCATAGCTCCTCCTTTACAGTGTGTCCATGTTTTTGTGAGTGTGGTGATTGGCTGATAGTAATCTGATTATTATTTCTCTCAATATTACAAAAGTACCGCTGTTAAAAAACGTGAAATATTTGTTGTTGAAAATGCATTTCAAAATGCAAGACACAGTTTGTATTCCAGGTAAGGGTTTCCATTTTCGCAAAACATTGCTCTTTCGAAAATAGCGTTTTTGCCATTTCACACTTGTTAAACGTTGGTGTACATTTGTTTCAAAATGTCTTTGAAAGGAAGCATTCGTACTTGCAAAGAACATGACATTATAACAAATATAACTACCTACCCACAATGTATTGTGTCTGCATCAAACACTTTCCATACATATTTCTTTCTGAATACATTTTGTAGCCATAACTATGCATAATGTAGCCATCCTTGTGCTACTGTCATTCATTACCCAGGATCCCTTTCCACAGTATACGCATACGTATATCATGTTTCATACAATCGCCCCTCTCCCCCAATTCCCTACCCATTCCAACAAAATCACCCACCCACTTTGTTGCAAAATCAGCATCTTCATCAAATGTATTCTTTTCGGATTAACGTACCAAAATTTCTGCAGTTGTGAAGAATTGCGACATCCAAAACTACCATACCGTTATATGTAATTCGAGTAATTTCAAACTTATTACTTGACTCCCCTGTACGTATTTCGCATGTCCAGTCAAGATGTGCACTGATTTTAAGTTTAAGTATATTCCATTTGGTTACCCAAAGCGACAAAGCATTTTGTCGATTACTACAGTGGAATAAGTACCAATCTCTTTTTATTCACCATTCTTTGTGAATGGTCATTCACTCTAGTCAGTGAATGAAACAATTATAAATTTGTTTCGGGGAGAGCTGACGTGACCTTACTGAGTATGTCATGTGTATTCTGTTAAGGAAAAATGCAAATGTCTTATAACATTTTGATTTTCACCCATTTCCAAACACGTCAGTTAGGCGATGGAATCTATCAAGAACGCATTGGAAATAACCGACTCCATATTGATTTATTTACAAAAATATGTGAGCAATTCTGTACAAAGTTAGAGATATATTTGTTGCTGTTCCTGACATTTACATAGGAACTGTCAAACACGCGACACACAGCGAATATAGTTTCATTTAAGACATCACGTAATAAATCCTTTCATGTTTCATTTCCGTGCTTGTGAGGACAAAAGTACGTATTTTAAAAACCCTATAGTCATACAGGAAAGCATTCAAAGACTGTACACAAAATATACATACACGCAATATTGACAGACTATATTGATGCAGGTAATAAGACACTGTTGATGACATCATCAAATTGCTGTGACACAGGTAATAAATAGAGGATCTTTATCTGACACTCAAGTTTATCTCACTGCCAATAACGGCATGTAGCCAGTGTCTGGTCGGGGTGCTTGCAGTTGTTCGTAGTCTCTCTCTTCCACAGCGACGTCGTTATTTATATCCCGGATCACATCATACTGAGAATTTTCACTGTTGCGTGATACATTAAACTCATGCAGTGAGATTTCTTCTGGTCTGCTGTCAGGGTTGATTGGTGATATACCTCCGTGGAAACCCGGACAAGACGTACACTCTCTCCTCCTGATAGAAACATGTTAAGTCGTTAAAGGTGTTCATGAATAAATGCTAAAGGTTTCAGATACACACAGACCAAGAAGGCATTTCTGTTAATGCTATAAGATTGTGAGATATGATAATGCCAGATACACTGGACTCACAATACTGTAATAGAAATTGAAACTTTATTACATATTATTCAGTACAGGTTCATTGAATTGGCTATTGTGCTGGTTTGACCCGGCGTAATTTCTTTCGCTTGTATCAAAAAGAGTTTGCAAAGATTTCACCTGACGATCATGACGGCAATGACAAGGATGAGAACACCGAGACATGCTGACAAGACGACGACAAGTCTGTGAAGGGACTGGACGTAGGAGTCGTAGGACACTGAAACTATGACAACAGTAGCATCGTTATATTTCTCTGCACAGTACAGCAGAATAATTCTAATGTCTGTCTGTCTGTCTGTCTGTATGTATATATGTCTGCCTGTATGTGTGTATGTATGTATGTATGTATGGATGTATGTATGTATGGATGGATGGATTTATGGATGATGGATGGATGGATGTATGGATGGATGGATGGGTGTATGGATGGATGGATTGATGGATGGATGGATGGATTAGGGATGGATAGTATCTGCCGAGTTTTCATATAAATACAAAGCTTATTTCTCTGGTGGTGTATAACCTTTCAGTTTCACAAGGAAACATGGACAAGGAATATGAATGTAAGGAAAGCAATAGTTGTACTTGGATTGAGATTCGTGTCACGTAAATCTCGTGCCAAACGTTCTACCACTCCTCAAACAAACACACTCACTAACGTCAACCACGGCCTCTTTAGATATTTTGCTTTATTTGAGAGGATAATATCGATGTATATTCTTTACATGATGATGAATATGACACAGCTTACTGATTACCTGACATTTGCTATTTGACAATTTGTTTTCATATCTTTCATTAGATATTCTTCTATCTTCCATGCGAACCTAAATATACTATACTAAATTTCGCCAAGCCTACCCTTCACCTACACTGGAAACAATGCAATGTGTTTCACAATGCAATATTTACTTAAAGAAGCCACAGAATAGGACTGCAATTGTAAGCTGTGTCCTCTGTTTTCCCATTTGTAATATGTGTAGCTATAGTTAAATAACAAACAAATACCTTTAAATAGACCCATAACACAAATCTGAGAACAGAAACCGTCTTAACATCAAAGGGCACATAACACTGTCGTGTTAGACTTGTCACGGTAATCTCCAGTACAACGAAGATTAGCATACAAAGCTTTGCCGGCCCGATAATCTGGGTTATGTTGGGACCGTGACTACCTGAGAATTCAGGAAGTGATAACAGCATATATACCCTGATAATAGTCCGACAAGAGTAAAAATGTATTTCAAGAAAGGAAAAGAAATACACTGAGTTATTATTAAGTTATCTTATAAGGGCAACTATGTTTTTTTAAAATCCAACTTTCATTTTCTTTACACTAAAGAATTCATAACAGCCTCAATATATGAACATACAATATTATTTTGAACGTGCTCCACGTGTAACACAAGCTATATTTGGGATTTGGGATAACACTTTACCCAAGTTACATTTGGATATCAAGATACATCTCTGTCAGTCATCATATCAAGACTTATTACAGTATAGTTAATGCTTACATTCAAGGCAGGACCCAGTACTTCTGTTGCACACTGAACAGTGGTCGGGACACTCCTTGTCACAGTATTCTCCCCACAGTCCTGCTTGACATCCCAAAGTACAGACAGGTTTGCTTCTACCTGTGTCGGTAGTGGAACATTCCATGTCTGTACAGTTGCTACTGCATGTGAGGGTACAGTGCTGACCGTAAGCACCAGCTACACATCCATCTGAACATGAACCATTGTCTCTGTTACACTTGTCGGTAGCACAGTTCTCAGGACATTTAACAGAACAGGTGTCACCATGCCAGCCCGAAACACAACCATAATCACATTTCCCGGTGTTCTGACTGCATGTTTCGTTCAGACAATTGTCGCTGCATTTCTCCTGGCAGTGTGTTTTGAAGTAGCCAGGTTTACAAGGACTGCATCTCCCATCTCTACTACATGTCTCACTACCACAGTTCCTGGAACACCTCTCCCGACATTGTTCACCATGATATCCCTGTACACACGTCATGCATGATCCATTCTGGTAGCATGTACGGTGAAGACAAGTGGCACTGCAGGCTGTGTCGCACTGCCATCCAAACCTACCCTCTATGCACCCATGTGTACATGCACCTGTTGTGCCATTGCAGGATGTATTTAGACACTTGCTATTGCAATGTTTGTCACATTTAACTCCGTAAAAGTTTCCTGAACACCCACAGATACAAGAACCATCTTCACGGGCACAGTTCGAGACTCCATCGCCACAGACACCACAATGATCACAGGCGAGGTCACATCGTTGTCCATATTTACCCCCAATGCAACCATGGACACACTCCCCTGACCACTGATAGCACACCAGACTCCGGCATCCAACTCCACATCGTTTGTTACATGCTTCTCCCCATCTTCCCGTTACCGGACACGTTCTGGTACATTCATCATGGTCATCCTGAGTTTGTCTCTGACATTCGGTGCAGGAGTCGCCAGTCCTGTACATACCTACTGCACAATCTTTTAAAACAGATCAAAATCAATTATGGAGTTATACGTCATTTCGTTTATGCACAAACAGTACTTTCAAATTTAGACAATTACATCAGCATTTTAAATGTTTTTCGATGCTACCTGACCGCTTTGATTATATTTCAACCAAACCAAAATGGGTAGGGTTTTTTTTGTGTGAAAATGATCATAATTGGATCCATTTGGGAATTCGAACCCTCATTCATGTTATCTTCAAATTGAAATCGAAGCAGATGTGAGCAAAGTACAATATAACCAAACATTACGGCAGGTGTGTCAATCAGGTTCTTGGATTATACTTTCTATATCTTTTTCTTCGCATATGTCGGTAAACCTGGTACTATGAATCTCACCATGGATAGCATTAACTGACATTGAATCATTGTTTAATATGCAACATAAGCAATTCACGTATTACTGTATCAAAGTTGGTTTGTCATACATCTCTGAATGTGTTCAAGTTGGAAGGAATACAAATATAAAGACAGCAACACAAACCCGTTACGTTACAGAGACCGCACGTCCTCCGGCAGTGTTCAGCGATACCTGGCTGTCCACAACGACTATTGATACATAACGATGGACTTGAATCCCGGCATGTTGCACCATCTGTGAAGTCACGAAGCAAATATATAAGTAAACTAGGTATATAACGAACACTTTTATAACGAACTCTGTTTTGGCCACTTGATGTGTACTTCAGCCGCAGTGCGTATAACTACGGTTTCATCCAACTAGAGTTAGTGGTTCCTTTGAGTGGTTACATGTAGTTATTCATGGCAAGATCAACCTGTTACATGAAACAATTTGATCATGGTATGGAATTCTGCAAGGGCAGTGCCGTTAAAATAATCTCTGTGACGATTCTCCGTACAACTACAACGTCGTTTTGCCAGCTGTACCCTAGTATTCCTTGTTACAACAGCCGTTAAATTATTTAATTCTTACCATTTTCAAGGTGTATAATGCTTATTTTGGTGAATACATTTTCGAAGTGTTGTTTGACGACGACATTATAACCGTCACCTAACTATGAACGAGAGATTTGACATGCTGGCTGTATCGGCTGGAGATACAGTTACATGGTCTACAGGAAGGGTGGACAGTTTGAAAGCTGAAGCCATTCTTCTTGTCATACTGTCTTTAAGAGAGTGTTTTCTTAATCTTCAAGTTGTAGATCTAAATATAAAACAAATGAAGAAGTCTCTGACCTCACATATTTCTGGTTCCGGTTGCAAAACAATGTATTGTTATCCATCATTGTTGTTAGGTGACGGTTAGTCCCAGGTCATTTAACGTTAGACCACAGATGATGCCAAGATTGTTTGATATATACATTTACTTACCACTTATATTTAATCTTTTCTGAGATGCTGAAATCACTGTGTTCATCGCTCCATTACTTACCTGTCTGATCTCCGGTTATAGCTGCTACAAGTGTGTACAGACAGATAATACGTCTCAGATCTGTGGTCTCGTCAAACAAACGTTGGGCCTACGACACAGAATTGTCGATTGCAAGTATACGCAAGCGGATTTAGAAACCACCCATGCGATGAACAGAAGTGTAGTCATGCAAACGTAGTGTCTGCAATACGCCAACAACCTGGTGTGGATTGCAAGTATACACATACGTATTTATAACCATACATGTAAAGAATTTGTGATTTTTTCATCATACATGAAAGGAAAAATGTACACAAATTAACAGTTTGAATGAACTGAAGAGTAAACAGTATTTACCTTCATGGTCTGCAAGTGCTGGTACTGACGTACATGTATTGTCGTCGCTTTGTGGGAACTAACCTTTCTATTTCCTTTTTCCTGTTGCCACTTACAATGGTGCACAGGAAGTTGGTCTCGCACAGATACAGTCAGTGGTTTTATGTTTAAATCTACCAAGCTCCGTGGCGTTAGGATTAAAACATCTAATCATTGATTTTATTTTTAAATCTTTTGTGCTTTCTAATTCCTTGATCGGCATTCTAGAAGTTGGTGAGTCAAACATGAAGCACATAACTCTATGGATGCAATAGACAAAAGTTGCTCCTTTATTCACATTGATACGATGTATGTCAACCGTAAAAGATCTATGCGCAGCTGAGGGAAATGGAAAATGTTTTATCTTACAGCTGAACCATATGTTTTAAACATATTTTTATTCCGTCAATAGAGAAACCTGGATAGGCGAACAAGCCAAGTGGCTTATATAAACGCCGCTCCAGTACTCTGTTCCAATATAGCTGGATACATATTTGAAATAGTCCGACAAGAAAAGAATACTACTGAAACAAAATTACACTCAGAAAAATGATTGAATAATAAATATTTGGTTATGGTGTTGGTTGTGCCTAGCAACGAAAAGAGCTGCCGCAGAAAATCAAGTTATATAAATCTTGTCTTGCGTTGAATATACATGTATATGTAGAGGTGATAATCACTGAAAGCGCTTACTTTTAGAAATGAACTGGTGTAATGAGTTTAGAATGTCACAATTTGTTGAGTTATCCAATGCGCCGTTACCGTATAAGGTAGTTTTCACATCGTATCCTTGAATATAAAAATACACCGTTGTTCTTAAATTTTGATAGTTCCGACATGTAAAAAGGTAGTGAATGACGTCTTCGTTATAATGACCACATGAACACTTAGCTGTTTCTGATATATGTCGATTATATCTGTCTGCGTTCAGATCACTACAGCCGAGCTTGAGGCGACAATGGATGATTTGACAAAATCTAGTCCCAAAATTTAAATCAAAGTAGTTGTCAGTTTTTGTTGGATTTATCATGGTTTTAAACTGCCTCACGGAAATAGCTCGGTAAAAATGACTGAGAATATCTTTGGGTTCTACAGTTAGTAGTTTGAATGGAAGTACTATCTCTAAGATTATAGTTGCTTTGTTGAAATACTCTACCTGGTACAAGATCATTCATATAATCAGGAGTCAGACGATGTATATTTTATCATGACTGGTGCCACGAACCGCACCGCATATAGTTCTTAATGCGTCTAAGTGTAAATTTTCCAGTAAAATCGCCTGTTCAATCGTACAGTTATCCCATATATGACAGCAGTAATCAAAAAGTGGTAAGATAAAGGAGTTATATAAAGTATTTAGCGTTTTCCGAGATAAACGATATTTCAAACTTCTCAGACAATTGATCATTGGACTAATTTTCTTTACCATGTCACCTATATGAACTTTCCAAGAACAATCGCTTTGAAGTGTTATACCTAAGTGTTTATGGTTATCAACTTCTTTAATAGTTTCGCCATTCATTAGTAAGTTCGGCCTGGCATACTTTTTCATTTTACGAGTGAATGTTATACTCTCAGTCTTACTAGGATTAAAACTTACCTGCCACTTTCTGGCCCAGTCTGAAATCTTTGCCAAATCATTGTTTATAATTGCGGCTGCTGTAATATGATCATCTATTATAGCATATATTGATGTATCATCAGCAAAAAGGCGAATGTTACTGTCTATACCATCTACAATGTCATTAATATAAATGATGACAAAAGTGGTCCTAATACGTAACCCTGGGGTACACCAGCTTCCACAGATTTGATACCTGAACTATATCCATTTATTACCACTTTCTGCATTCTACTATCTAAATAACTTTCAAACCACTCCAAAAGTTCTCCCTGTATACCATAAGCGTAAAGTTTATGAATAATACCTTTGTGCCAAACTTTGTCAAAGGCTTTACTTGCATCACAGAATACCGCTCTGATTTCCTTTCCTTGGTCTACGGCACTTGCGATAAAATTATAAAGATAAGTTAGTTGATTTACTGTAGAATCACCAGACATAAATCCGGATTGTAAGTTTGATAAAATATTGTTATCCCTGAGGAAGTTGAAGACGTATTTAAAAATGCATTTCTCAAAAACTTTAGCGGCACAGCTTGTTAACGCTACAGGTCTATAGTTTGAGCAATCGTGTTCATCACCTTTCTTATGAAGGGGAATCACCGAAGCTAGTTTCCAAGAAGTAGGATACGTTTTATTACGAAGGGAGATGTTGAACAACTTAGCTAACAACGGGGTTAAAGAGGTTGCAGTTAGTTTCAGAATGATTCCAATGCCATCAGGCCCCATGGCTTTCGATGTATCTAGACTCAGAAGAATATCGCGAACATCTCCATTACTTATTGTGATAGATGACATAGGATGATCGATTTCATGCGGTTCGAAATCAGGCAGATCGGCGTTAGGATCAGCAACTTGGGATTGTTCTGAGAAAAATGAGTTGAGTACATCAGCAATATCTTGTTCATTGTCATAAACTATGTTATTGCTGACAATTGATGGAAAGGACGATTTTATCGAATTTGTTTTAACATAATTCTTAACTAATCGCCACCACATTTTAGCACCATGAGTGTTATTTATAGTTTCATCAACTCGTGCATCAAAAGCACGTTTTGCATTTCTAACTGTTGCTATTACTTTGTTCCGAAGTGTTCTGAACTTAGTCCAATCATCAGGAAGGTTTCTGTTTTTTGCAATCTTATGAACACGATTTCGTTTTTTCTTATTAAGGATCGGATTTTGTTATTCATCCACGCGGGATCTTTGGTTCTAATTGTTACAGTTTTATTTGGAATATATTCATTCATGATATTCAATAACAAGGATGTAAGGTTTTCAGTGATATTATCTAAGTTCCCCGAAGAGAAAAATATATCTGAGTTTATCTCTTTGATGGTTTCATTCATACCATTAACATCCATTGAAGAATAATTATAGATTTTCCTTTTGAATGAATTCTTGTGCTGCATCATTTCTGCTATGTTAACAAATACGGGGCAGTGATCGCTGCATATTGGATCTAATACACCAGAATCTTTAACAACGTCAACGCGAGAAACAAATATCAAATCGATCAAAGTTTTACTACTTGCGGTTATTCTAGTAGCATCCGTGATTATTTGTCGAAGGCCGTAGTAACTTTGTATAAAGTCTATCTTTTGATTATTGCCATGAAGAACGTCATTATTGAAATCACCGGTTATAATTGTCTGCATATTAAGATCAACTGCGTTACCTATTGATTCATCGATCAAATTCCAATATTCGGAGCTCTTGTCGGCGCGATAAACAGTTCCCAATCAGGTAGTTTCTTGTTTTACATTTAGTCTGTATCCATATCGCCTCAAGTCCGACTATGTCTAAATCAGACATCAACAACGCACAAATAGTATCTTTTTACATACACTGCTACACCGCCACCGCGAGTTTGTCTGTCTTTACGGAAAGGTAGATGAAAGCCAGGAATATTTATATCAATGTTATTTGTATCGGAAGTTAACCAAGTTTCGGTTAGACATATCACATCATAAAATCCAAGTTCAACTCTTAAAATATCTTAATTTTTCCTTAAGACTACGTACATTTAGATGGACTATCCTTAAAGCATTTATGCTGAGTGTTTAGAATGAAGTGCTGCAGCAAATGTACCCACTGCCTGTCTATATTGTGATATTTTAACCGACATCGAAAATTAGAAACTGGTGACAAATATAGTAGACAGTGGGTCTTGAGGATGCAAAACTGCATAGGCACACACCAACAACATAACTTAATGATATAATACGTAAACAAAACAAGGGCATTCTTTTCTTGTCACATTCATAACAGAAATAATCAAACAAACAGAAGAGGAAAGGGTAAAACAGGAAATACAAAGACAAAAAACATTTGTCTATTTAGTGAGAGGAAAATTCGAGAAAATTTCATATATATAATGTTTTCAAATTGCCTATAAATGAAAGTCTTAGTCATATCAATTGCCCAAAATATCTACATCAAAACGTAGTTAACAGTAGTGAGGAGATTTGTATCCGTGTCAACGCATGTGCATGTGCGAGAGAACACGATGTGGGCGCTTAGCACGAGAATGTGTGCGTGTGTGTGTGTGTTAAGGATGCATGTTCAGGGCACGACCAAAACGGACTGGATACCTGTGCGATTAGATGCATGGTGTTGTGAAACAACGTGAGTACTGTTGTTTGTTACATATCCTATTCTATATAGACATATTCAATGCTTTATCATAGACGGAAATAAAAAGGGTAATGTAAAAAATGTATAATAATGATTTGTATAGTACAGTAGTTGAGTCAAGTGTTAATTGACACAGATAGCTTATTGTGCACATTGTATGAATGCAAACGACTATGAATGTATTGAACGTAGCACGATCACCCATGAGTATGTTATTCAGATCATGGTGACCTCTTATGTCATAATTATCAGATCAAAACATAGCGTCCATGCGCTTTAAGAATGAAGCCGTAAACGTGTCAATTTCATTTAAGCAATTGTTTAACGGGTTGCGATTTAAACACACAAACACACACACACACATATATATAATTTATACATACACACACATATATATATATATACATACACATATACACCCGTGACCATACACACACATACATGTATACACATAAACATACACACAAATACATACACATACACACATACACATATATACATATACACACATACATACATATATATACATAGAGAGAGAGAGTTAATCATATTCATATCAATTGCCCAAAATATCTATATAATATCATAGTTAACAGTAATAAGTTTGTATCCATGTCGACTCATGTCCATTGCGAGAGACCACGATGTGGGCGCTTAGCACGAGAATGTGTGTGTGTTAAGGATGCATGTTCGGGGCACAACCAAAACGGACTGGATACCTGTGCTATTAGATGCATTGTGTTGTGAAACAACGTGAGTACTGTT